GTCAGTACCTGACCAACCGGGCTGTGGCTTGTACTTCGGTTTACATGCGACCAGCAGTAACAGGTCTGGTTGATCAGGTCCTGATCAACCACGAGGCCTGGTCACGGACTGGGCCGCGAAGGCGTTGACCCATGAAACTCCCTCCAAGCATTTATAGAGAAGCGCTAAGTCTGTAGGAATCATGCAGTGACTGAGGGAATGCGAGGTCGTCAAGTATAATCCAAGGAAGGGAAGAGTAGGTCTAATTCCTTAGATTAAAAGGTCCTTATCAGCTTCTAGCAAGTTTCCTTGAGGAAAGCTGCAGTACTGTCCAGGAAAGAATGACTTAAAATCCGAGTGAAAATTGAGAAAGGAACAAAGGTTTCCTTGGGAAATAGGAACGGCAGTAAGTGTTCCCAGTTAGGTTAGGTGGTTCCCACGCCTGACAGGTAGAACAAGAAGCCCAGCCTCCACATACGTCAATAACCGGCGTCCCAGAGCAACTATGGAAATTCACAAAGCGGAAAAGTAGTGAGGTGTTCCAGTTCATTGTAGCGACTCCGACTTTGATTCATGTTTTTTTTTTTTTTTTTGCATCCATATTTTATGTTTTATGTATTCTCTTCCGAGTCACAGGCAGGTTAGCCAATACGTAAATGCTAATGTCCACACACTACACTTCTCCTTTTCCCGGGTATATTCTATAGTCTAGAAAAAAAGCATATTGCACTCTCGAAACTTCGTCTCGATAAGTAGTACTCCTGCAACTGCAATTTGTGTCAATTATATTCAGACTTCCAGGACCGAGGCTCATACCACACAAGCCGTCGCAGCTCTTACAAGCAATAAATTAAATAAATCATTATGTTTGTCATCAGTGAGTTATCCTTGGTTATTTTTTTCATCAGTTACTAAATTAGTTCATGGTTGAAATTTAAACTTATGCACTAAACCTAAAAATAAATAATTAATAATAGCATTACGCCCCGAGCGACTGCCAAACGGTTAAGAATATGATGAGAACAATCATCCAGGTGAGAGACTGATGTCCAGGAGCATGACAAAATTGATGAATTAGCTACACAAGCATTAAATAAAAAGAATGTTGAAATCAAGTCTGGTTTTTCAAAAAGAAGCTTCCGAAACACTGTGGAACAGTACAGATAGGAACTAGCAGATCTATTATCCATCATAACCTGGAGTTTACCTGGAGAGAGTTCCGGGGGTCAACGCCCCCGCGGCCCGGTCTGTGACCAGGCCTCCTGGTGGATCAGAGCCTGATCAACCAGGCTGTTGCTGCTGGCTGCACGCAAACCAACGTACGAGCCACAGCCCGGCTGGTCAGGAACCGACTTTAGGTGCTTGTCCAGTGCCAGCTTGAAGACTGCCAGGGGTCTGTTGGTAATCCCCCTTACGTATGCTGGGAGGCAGTTGATCAGTCTCGGGCCCCTGACACTTATTGTATGGTCTCTTAACGTGCTAGTGACACCCCTGCTTTTCATTGGGGGGATGTTGCATCGTCTGCCAAGTCTTTTGCTTTCGTAGTGAGTGATTTTCGTGTGCAAGTTCGGTACTAGTCCCTCTAGGATTTTCCAGGTGTATATAATCATGTATCTCTCCCGCCTGCGTTCCAGGGAATACAGGTTCAGGAACCTCAAGCGCTCCCAGTAATTGAGGTGTTTTATCTCCGTTATGCGCGCCGTGAAGGTTCTCTGTACATTTTCTAGGTCAGCAATTTCACCTGCCTTGAAAGGTGCTGTTAGTGTGCAGCAATATTCCAGCCTAGATAGAACAAGTGACCTGAAGAGTGTCATCATGGGCTTGGTCTCCCTAGTTTTGAAGGTTCTCATTATCCATCCTGTCATTTTTCTAGCAGATGCGATTGATGCAATGTTATGGTCCTTGAAGGTGAGATCCTCCGACATGATCACTCCCAGGTCTTTGACGTTGGTGTTTCGCTCTATTTTGTGGCCAGAATTTGTTTTGTACTCTGATGAAGATTTAATTTCCTCGTGTTTACCATATCTGAGTAATTGAAATTTCTCATCGTTGAACTTGATATTGTTTTCTGCAGCCCACTGAAAGATTCGGTTGATGTCCGCCTGGAGCCTTGCAGTGTCTGCAATGGAAGACACTGTCATGCAGATTCGGGTGTCATCTGCAAAGGAAGACACGGTGCTGTGGCTGACATCCTTGTCTATGTCGGATATGAGGATGAGGAACAAGATGGGAGCGAGTACTGTGCCTTGTGGAACAGAGCTTTTCACCGTAGCTGCCTCGGACTTTACTCTGTTGACGACTACTCTCTGTGTTCTGGTTAGGTAATGAAATGTGTCAGGTCAAACATGTCTATGGAGAAAGTAACAATGTCAACAGATTGCAATATGTTGTTACTGCTAGAGTAAGACTAGGTTATAAGTATTTCTGACTAGTTTGTATGGAGATGTTAATGTCATAATATACGTAGTGTATGGACAAAGACAGGGCCATACACTCAAATTCAAACTTCCAAACATCTAACTTTTCGGAGACACCTCCATGCAAACCTTACATGATATGACAAAACCCCTTATTGCTAATGATAAGATATCTGAATCTGAAATCTTGTGGTTGTATCCACATTTCACATAGACTACATACAGATTGCAACCCAGCTATGACAAATGCTTTTTATTAATAGTAATAAGAAACCATTTTTTAAGACTATATTCCTTACTGTACTGTGTACGACAGCTATATGAAGTAACTGAAAAATATGAAATAATTAGCATTTCTTTTTAGTAATGAAACAGTGATCAGTAGGGTTTGACAAAGACCCACTGTGATCTCTGTAATTCCGTCTTTTAGCACTTACTACTCACAGGATGAGCTGCGGGTGTACGATAAAATAGCCTCTCAGATAGCACAACTTACCTAACTGTACAACAGGCAGAGTACAATGACGGCAGTCATTTAGGGAAGAGACTGATATGCCCAGCAGGCAAAATATGATGATGGCAGTCATCCAGAGGGAGAGAATGATATACCCAGCTGGCAGAGTATGCTGATGACAATAATCCAGGGAAGAGAATGATATGCACAGCAGGCAGAGTATGATGATGACAACCATCCAATGGAAAGAATGATGTACAGGCAAGGTTTGAGGAGGACAAGCATTCATGGGAGACAATGATAGGTCTAGCAGGCAGACTGTGATGATGACAGGCGTCCAGGGAGAGAAGGATGAGTACAACAGAGTACGATGAGGACAAGCCTCTAGGTACACGCCTAGGTAATCTAATGATATCTTAGTTGATACTGCTCTCCCCAAGGGCGATGCCCTTATTCCTGGTGAGGGCACCATCTGGTTCATAGTCGATTTATAGGGTATTACACTCGTCTTACCGTTTAACATAAACTGAATAAGATTACGCTCATTCTACTTTTTAAGTTCTCCCTGATGTGAAGTAGTAACATGTTATAGGTACAGACTTGTGCCCAACTCATAATACATAAGATAAGATAAGATTTCGTTCGGATTTTTAACCCCGGAGGGTTAGCCACCCCGGATAACCCAAGAAAGTCAGTGCGTCATCGAGGACTGTATCTTATTTCCACTGGGGTCCTCAATCTTGTCCCCCAGGATGCGACCCACACCAGTCGACTAACACCCAGGTACCTATTTGCTGCTTGGTGAACAGGACAACAGGTGTAAGGAAACGTGTCGAAATGTTACCACCCGTGTGTGAAGCGGGACCTTTAGCCACCAGGCCACCGGGCCACAGGCCACATGACCTGTGGACAAAAAATATCACACAGACTATTTGAGCTGATGGCTGTGAAAACTTGTTTTCACCATTCTTACAGGATTCATTACATTTGTAACTTGTGAGTTCATTACCTTTGTACCTAGTTCAGCTATCAAAACTTTGGGGGCCCAGTCCCTGGACCCATTACGTACCTCTGTAATCTGTAAATACCTTTGTAACTTGTCATGATTGTGACCAGACCTACCTGGAGTTTATTACCTTTGTAAATTGTGAGTTCATTACCTTTGTAAATTGTGAGTTCATTACCTCTGTAACTTGCTCAGCTATCAAAACTTTGGAGTCCAGTCCCTGGACCAATTATGTACCTCTGTAATCTTTTGACTACCGCACACAGGATGGGTATGGGGTGCATAATAAACATATTAAACTCATGATCATATACATAAATTCGTGAAAAAAGAAATAAAAAATATTTCATGCTACCGAAAAATAATGCTAAACTCTGGCAATATTGTAATGCAAATCTCATTTCTCCACGATATTTCTAAAGCGAATAATCGTAGGTACAACATTGGACATGACGTCAAAGGCCATGTAGTTTTTACATATCTATTGAATTTTTGGTAATTTTTTGTTTACCGATTTTACATTTTTGTATGTATTTTCTCTAAAAGTAATGAAAAACATTATTTGGCATCATTACTAAGGGGGTTAAACTTGGCCGTGGCATGGAGGAGATGAGATGTTTTCTAAATTACCGTTCAGTAAGCGAGCTAAAAATGACGTATATTTATGCTATTTTTAACATTTTCCTTATTCCATTTACTAAACGTTTTGCAAATATGATTAACGAGAACAGTAAGTAGCATATAAACGTAATACAGACAGCCACAGTAGAAAAACCGACAAGTATACTTTATATCAAGGCTCCCCAGTGACAATAAATCACTTTGTATGACTTTTTTTTTTTGGAGGGGGGTTATCCTAGGTAATCTACACATATGCTGCTACGTGTGAAAATTTATGTAACTGTATTTATATGTACCTATACCTGAATAAACTTAGTAAACATCTCAGACAGCCGGGTTCACTATGGTGCTTCAGAAGGCCCGTTTAAATACGGTGCTTCAGTAGGCCGGATTCACTACGGTGCTTTAGGAGACTGGGCTAAATACGGCTGGGTTCAGTACAGTGCTTCAGGAGGAGACCGGGTTCAGTACGGTATTTCAGGAGACCGGGTTCAGTACGGTATTTCAGGAGACCGGGTTCAGTACGGTATTTCCAGAGTGGTGGCCCCTCAGCTCTATAACAAGAAAATGCGACACCGGGCTGGTCTCTTGGCTGCTGTATATCACAGATTTAACCAGTGTCGCTTTTTCTCACCACAGTTCCGCAGGATCTTCGACATGTCATTGCAGAAAGTTGTAGTGACTCACGAGAGTGAGACACCCACGGTGTGTCTCTCATTTAGGTATAAGGAAGACAGATTAAAGGTAGACAGAATTTTCAATCTGCAAAGGTCCACTCAGGAAGACCTGGGTAATATATTGACCAGGATAAGTGGAAATATACAGAAAATTGCCTTCAAGAAGAACAAGAAGAGCAGTATTGATATTGAAGAGATTCCTGTGAAAATGTTAAGATTAGATAATGAGGGAATAGTATCAGAAGATACGACTTGTTATGACTCATTTGTTGGCAGTTATAATAATCATAAATTATTAATAGGAGAGAATCATTATATCATTGATCTTAACCCACCTATTATAAAGTCAATGGATTTACCCAAGAACATGATGGCTGGTTTTCCCGTTTATCCAAATAAATTCGAGACTGTATATGCAGAAAAGGAACATTGTGTTTTCAGGTGGTTTAAGAGTGATCTAAAATTTGAGACTGAAAAAGTTGCCAAGGCAAATCTTAATAAAATCAAGTGGATTGAGGTGAACGTTGGAGTTGCTTGTATGACAACAAGTGAAGACGTTGGTAGGCTGCTAAAGGTAAACTTCAGTTATATATTTCTGTACACTTCATACATTACTCTTCAATATAATACTCCAAAAGTCACCTTGCAGAGCAGGGATAGCATGTTAGGCTCTTTAGGTTGAGTCCTAGGCAGAGAGAGAAGGAAGGGCAAGTTTCCTTATACCTGCACACCTTAAGCTAAGTTGTCTATCGTCATAAAAAAAATAGGTATCACAATAGGTATCACATAAAAGACCTGAGAGTGATCATATCAGAAGATCTTACCTTCAAGTCGCATCTGCTAGAAAAATGACAGGATGTATAATGAGAGCCTTCAAAACTAGGGGTGCCAAGCTTGTTCTATCTAGGCTGGAATGTTGCTGCACACTAACAGCACCTTTCAAGGCAGGTCAAACTGCTGACCTAGAAAATGTACAGAGAACCTTCACGCCATGCATAACTGCGATAAAACACCTCAGTTACTGGGAATACTTGAAGTTCCTCAACCTGTATTCCCTGCAATGCAGGCAGGAGAGATACATGATCATATACACTTGGAAAATCCTGAAGGGATTAGTACCAAATTTGCACACAAAAATCCTGATCAGCCGGGCTGTGGCTCGTACGTTGGTTTGCGTGCAGCCAGCAGCAACAGCCTGGTTGATCAGGCGCTGATCCACCAGGAGGCCTGGTCACAGACCGGGCCGCGGGGGCGTTGACCCCCGAAACTCTCTCCAGGTAAACTCTCCAGGTAAACTCCTATGAAAGCAAAAGACTCGGCAGATGATACAACATCCCCCAAATGAAAAGCAGGGGTGCCACTAGCATGATAAGAGACAACACAATAAGTGTCAGGGACCCAAGACTGTTCAACTGCCTCCCAGCATACATAAGGGGAAATACCAATAGACCCCTGGCTGTCTTCAAGCAGGCACTGGACAAGCACCCAAAGTCAGTACCTGACCAGCCGGGCTGTGGTTCATACGACTTGACTCACGAAATCGTGGCTAATGCGATGGTCTGGAGTTTCGAGACTCTCTGACCGCGGGTTCAATCCCGGCCGGGGTATGGTTTGTGGTTCATACGTCGGTTTACGTGCGGCCAACAGTAACAGCCTGGTTGATCAGGCCCTGATTCACCGTGAGTCCTGGTCACGGACCGGGCTGCAGGGGCACTGACCCCCGGAACCCTCTCCAGGTATATTCCAGGTATACATATTGCAGTGTATCATCCACATAGGTTTAATGCAATTTCACCAGTGTTACCAAGTTGTCGATTGGTCAGGAAAACTCTCCATTGTTTTCCTTCTCGCACAGAGTGCCACACATACACTATACATACTGCACTGGGGTAACTGTAGCGATCTCTCAAAATTTTCTATCATGTTAATGCTATTATGTTTTTAAATGATAAATTCTTTTTAAATTTTGTGTGATAGTATTGTTTGTTGTGTGTATAATACTTGCTATTGTGAAAGATTTTGTTCTTTTAGAAAATTTTTGGCTTGTCACTGTTAACCCTCAAGGGAGGTTACTTGATGATGGTGAGATCCTCTTGATCTAAGGAATTGGAACTGTTCTCTCCATTCTTTGTTAAAATCTGAATGCCTTCAATTCCCCAAGGCACTGTATGACCCTTATGGGTTTAGCACTCCTTCCATGAATATTCAGTAATAATAATAATAATAATAATGATAATAATAATAATAATAATCATTTTTGTTGTTAGTGTTTATGGTTGTATATACCCCTACAAGTCTCCCACACTTACAACTCTCTCCTACACACTTACAAATCTCTCCCACACCATTACAAGTCTCCCACACTCCCACAACTCTTTTCCACACCCCTACAAGTCTCCCACATCCCACAACTCTCCCACACTCCTACAGATCTCTCCCACACTCCTACAGATCTCTCCCACACCCCTACAACTCCCTCCCACACACCCTACAACTCCCTCCCACACCCCAACAACTCCCTCCCACACCCCTTCAGCTCTCTCCCACACCCCTACAACTCTCTCCCACACCCCTAGAACTCTCGCCCACACCCCTACACTCACACAACTCTCACCCCCCACACCCTTGCAACTCCCACATCCCGACAACTCCCTCCCACACCCCTACAACTCTCTCCTACACTCCTACAACTCTCTCCCACACCCCTGCAACTCCTCTCACACCCCTACAACTTTCTCCTACACCCCTACAACTCACCCACTCAATTATAACACCCCACACTCCCACACCCTCACAACTCCCACAACTCTCTCTCACACTCCTACAACTCCCACACCCCTACAGTTCCCTCCCACACCCCTACAGTTCTCTCTCACACCCCTACAGTTCTCTCTCACACCCCTACAGTTCCCTCTCACACCCCTACAGTTCCCTCCCACACCCTTACAATTCACTCCCACACTCTTGCAATTCCCTCCCACACCCCTACAACTCCCATAAAACCTACTCCCACACCCCCTTAACTATTATGTCCCCTTAAGTTCCATACCACCACAACTCATACCCACTTCCCAGGAACTCACTCCCACACCCCACAACTCACTTCCACTCCCCCATAACTCCCACACCCCCATAACTCACTTCCACTTCCCCACAGCTCACTCCCACAATCTCATATCTCATTACCATCCTCCACAACTTACCCCACAACTCAGTCTTTCACCCCCACTACTTAGTCCCTCACCCTCTCAACTCATTCCCACACCTGTTGTGGTCAGAGTAGTATACTGTTGTTGCAGTTGTTATGTCTGAATAGTTCCTTGTTGCTTGTGAAGATCAAATCCAGTGTATTTTTATTTCTAGTGGTATCAGTTATCTGTTGGTTCAATACAAACTTTTCATAAAACCTCTTTAGTTCCCTGGCATGTACCTTCCAGGTGCCAGATCAACCAGGCTGTGATGGATATGTGGGCCAGCAGGCTGTCAGCAGCAACAGCCTGGTTGACCAGGCAAGTGCCAGATGAACCTGGCCCAAGGCCAGTCTCTGAGAGTAGAAAGGCTAATGAGTCTCATCAAAGGTATATCAAAGGCACCTCCCACAACTCATTCTCTGACTCCCACAACTCATTCCTTCACCACCATAACTCACTGCCACACTCCAACAACTCATTCTCACACCCCCCATAACTCAATCCCTCGCCTCAACAATTTATTCCTACACATCATCAGCTCATTCCCACACCCACAGTGCATCTTTCCACATCCATACAACTCACACACAGCTCACTCTCAACTCACTCCCAGCTCACTCCCAACTCACTCCCAGCTCACTTCCTTACCCCCATTACACCTACACCCCATGAACTCACTATATCATTGTACTACCAATTTTTAAAGGGGTGGACAGGTAAGCCAACAGAAGGTGTCAGTCAGTTGACCAAATGCTCATGTAGTGGGTCATCATATGATTAAAACCTGTGTCAGGAAACACTTGTCCTGTTTCTTGACAAATTTTCCCTAACCTAACTCACTGGTGGCTGAAAACATTTTCTCAATAAAATGCCATGAACTGCAAGTTGTGTCTTATTAATATACAAACTCACCTCTCCATCTCCACAACTCATTCCCATCCCACAACCCTCAACTCCCTCAGCCTTTTAACTCTTAACCCCTTCAGGGTCCAAGGCCAAAATGTGAAGTGGTGCCCCAGTGTCCAAGAATTTAAAAAAAAAAAATTAGTTATTTTTTCTTATGAAATGCTTGAGAATCTTTTTGTGAAGGTAATAAAACAAAAGGTACGAAATTTGATGGAAAATTGACAAAATTATGCTCTCGCGAATTTTGATGTGTCAGCGATATTTACGAATCGGCGATTTTGCAGACTTTGACTCCCATTTTAGGCCAATTACATTATTCCAGTTGACCAAATTCTTAGCTATTTCACTAGTATTACTTCTATTCTATCGATTGAGCACAAGAAATCGCCAAGTCAACTGTTTCAACTACAAGATAAAGTGATTGGAAGTTGGTAATTTGGCCAATTTAACACAAAGTTTAAAATATTCCAATTTCAAAATAGGGTCCAGAATAAACAATGTAGGTATTCCTGGCACTAAACTAACATTTCCTCTGTTCATTAGTTACGTTTTGAGGCTTTACAAATAGATTCCATTTTGATTTTTTATTCACATGAATTTGTATTCACACCAAAAATAGAAGATTTACTGTTATGCAATATTGTAATAATTGTATAAATATCATCACCACATTTGTGAATGTATATTAGATCCACGAGCTGGCGTGTATTAGACGTGTGAGGCCGTTTGTTTACTCTTGAACATCAGCAAAAATTTAACATTTCCGCTACTTTGAGCTCATTTTCAAGCCATTTCCAGTGCTAAAACCAATCAAAATCATCTCTATTTCTGTAATATGTCTTCCATTCTATCAAATAAGACCAAGAAATCGCAAATACAACTACAAAACCATACGAAAAAACACTGCAAAGTCGCTGTTTTAATCGAAAATCATGGTCTCAGTTTTTTTTCTCTCATTATACACAGTGTGCTGCAGGATTTGTTTTATGTGGTGCACACATACCACATAGATGTATTCTCTCATATCTAGTCCCAAATGTACCACTCACAGTTTATCAGAGTGAGCTGAGCTCATGACGTAGATCTACGGTTTGGACCCTGAACGTAAAGCCGTAGATCTACGGGATGGACCCTGAAAGGGTTAAACTGTCCAAATGTAGATCTACGCTTTTTCAACATTTGAAAGTATGTAAAAAACGTAGAACTTCTTTTTGTTTTTTTTTATTTGAAAACGTGTAAAAAAACTTTGATCGATGTTTTTTTGTTATATTTGAAAATATGTAAAAAAACGTAGATCTACTTTTGGAGCACTACCCATGTGAACATAGATCTGTTTGGACAGTTTAAGGGTTAAATCAATCATGCAATCACATAGATGCAAAACTCATATCACATTTGTATAATAAATCCAAACCTCTTAAGCTTGGTTGACCAGAGTAGCACTAGATAAGCCTGGCCTATAGCCTGGTCTGTAGCCAGGCTACAAGAATAAGAAAGCTTTTGAAATCAGCCACAGGCGTATCACAGGTATGGTACACTGTCAGCTTCACAGGACACTATTATAAAAAAAAATAATAATTTAGGATTTTGTTATTCTTGAATGCCAGTTCTTTCAAGAAATTTGTAGGCTTTACTCTCCAAACCATAAATGCAACAACAAAAATGAAGAAAAAAATATTTAAGTTTGTATTCAAAGGTGACACTATAATCATTAGGATTATAGGCTTTAGAAAAGAGATGTGTTTTCACTTGAGACCTGAAAGCATGAACAGATTCCTGACTCTCACCAGACACTGTTGAACAATCTAGGAGCTACATAAGAAATGGTTCTTTCTGCAAATGATTTCTTCCAACAGCATGAGGACCAATCAGTCTAAAAGGGTTTATGGCAATTCATTAAAACTTTCCCAAGCCCAGTGTGAAAGGTAGAAGTAAATCAGCAAGATACTTGGGTTCATTAAAATTAATAGTTGTAAAAGTTAATAAACAGGTTAAATTCAATTCTTTCCTTGACAAGGAGCCAGTGCAACTCATACAATTCACTACAGACTGAAGTTTTTTTAATCAGCTAAATCAATGGTTCCCAAACTGGGGGTAAATTACCCCCTGGGGGTAATTTAACCATTTTTGGGGGTAATGGAGGGGTGACAGAAAAAAAGTTATGAATTCTGAAAATCAAGAAAACAATGCGGTACCCGGTATGAGGATTATTGTTAACTTTGTCTTAGTATATAAAGTTGTAAAGTAAACCTATTATAAGTAAGTAATAAAGTTAAACCAAATAACAATAAACATCAAAAACTAATATACAGTATTAGAAAAGAAGAAATATATAGCTAAGTGTGTGGAAACCCAAAAGTATTTTGACAAGTATGCTTCAGGACAAAAGTCACTCAGTAGCCCAGATCGACCTGTCCAGTACGCGTCACTCACTTCCTGAGGCTGCCTCTATTTCACACTGTCAGTTTATCTGTGAGCATCAGCCGAGGTAGACATAAGCTGGTATGTATGTGTACTGCCCTGTGCAGTATATAGTTAGTATTTACCCACTGTTACTGTGAATTTGTAGCTATTATTAATTTTATATATAATGTATGTGTGGTTCTTACGTTTTCAATGGTTTTGCTAGGATTAGCAGAGTATGTGAGGCTGTATACGTTCACGTTTAGCCATATATATCAATAATAACAACATTTTGTGAAAGGGGTAACATGCTTTATGTGGCATGTTAAATTGGGTAACAAGCTGAAAAAGTTTGGGAACCACTGAGCTAAATAGTCAAATTCACAAACAATCAGTTGCAAAATTAATATCAAATGGAATCAAATGTGTGGATAAGGACCTAGATATTTGACTTATCAAGATTTTCTGACTGCATAGAGATTAAAAATGTGAAAGTTGCAAGATACTGTATAACAATTCGGTTACTGTGTCTAACAAATGACAATGAAGAATACAGATAAACACTCAGATTCCTTAGGCTGCAAAAATCTTTGTCTTATCCTCATTTAGTTTCAGTTTTCTATCTGCCTTCCAAGTTTGAACATCCATCAAAAGAGAAGTAGAGTTTTACGGTTTCCACATTTAAAACTTGTATAGTATAGACTTGTTCATCATCAGCATAAAAATGATAAACCCCATGGTTATCCAACAATACCAGTCCAAGAACAGAACTCTAAAGAATGCCATAAGGCAAAGGAGATAGCTTAGATACAGAATCATTAACTAATACTTGATATGATCAAACAGTTTAAAAAGCAACAGTGCTGTATCCCTGAGGCCACAGCTAGAAAGTTCACTTATTAGTAATCCATTAGCAGCGATACCTCTCCTAAACAAGTGTTCATTACCAAGTCATTGTAACCTTCACTCAGCTAAGATTGATGTTTTCTAAATATGTTACAACTGATACATGTATGTGCAGTATATACGTATGTACATTACTGTATTTTGTAATATAATTAATATTATGGAATTTAACGTTAATCTTCTGACATTTAAATAGGTGGTTGCCACTCCTTTTCTGGGTGAAAGAAAGGGAGAAAATGTTGAGGTTATGTCAACAGTACTGGTGTCTGCATGCCCCGGTGAGTGTCCCTTTGAGCGAAGGCACCACTTCACCAGAACTCTGGCTGGAGAGAACAGGTATGCTCTCAGATGAGTTTTTTTTTTTATGTTATTTCTAATATCTTTTGGTTCAATGCAAACTTGTCATAACAGGTGCCAGGTCAACCAGGCTGTGCTGGATATGTGGACCAGTAGGCTATTACATTATATATTGCTCTAACTTACATAGTTATGCAATGCATTTTGGGAAGATTTATGATTATAAATACATTAAACTAGTTATACAACAGACAGATTACATAAATGTAATAAGCTTTCTAGCTATCAAGATAAATGTACTCAAAGATGTATCATTGACAGTACTGCAAATTATCAGAAGATTTCATGAATATGGATAAATTAAGATGAAATGTCAACATTTGAAGTGTTTTGATAGTTTTAGTGTTCTCAGCTTGCGTGTCATCAGCTACAACATACTGGCTGAACTCTACACTGACTCAGATCATGCACGCTCGGTTCTATTTTCGTCCTGTCCTCCTTATGCTCTTGATATGGACTACCGTAAACAGCTACTTACTAAGGAACTCTTGGGTAAGATACTAATTCTTATGTTACGCAGTGCTTTATTAAGTATCTTGATCTATACTATAGATGCTTTCTTCAGTCTTCAAAATAGGTGGTTAACTGTAAAAAATAAAAGTCTTCACTAAAAATCCAAACTGCTTTTATGATTACAATTATGTATTAATGCTGATAAAAGATATATTAAACTCACTAAATGTAGTGCAAATGAAACTGCAAGTCTGGGAACAAGGTGAGGTAGAGCAGAGTATGTGGCAAGAATTAATCTTTATATATAGTACAGTAAACCCTCTTATAATGAATGGGTTACACTCCTGAAAATTGGTGCGTAATGTAAAAAAAAAACTGAAATGAAGAATGTGTGGGAATAATAGGGCTATATTCCAGACACCTCCAAATTTGACAAACAACTTTTTTGCTATTGTACTGTAATAATTACTACAGCACAGATTACTTTACATTCCCATAGTGCTTTCTTGTCGACATAGAAGAATGTGGAGAGGGTTGATGTGAACCTGCTGGGTAAGGGTGGATTGTTGGTTTTCAGACCAAAAGGCATGGACAGTCTCTGTCACATGTGCACTGTCTTGAAGCATGTCTAAAACCTCCACCTTTTTCTTTTTGGCACCTCCAACATCATTAATATTCTTCTTGGGTGTCATGGCTAATATCCAGACATGAGATGGAGTGATGAAAATATCCAAAATGGTTTGAGCTATTTAAAGCTTTCAGAAATCATTGGTGTGAGTGGCATTGTGGGAGGGATGGAGCTGTGCCTCACCAAACACTTGATTTTTAGGCTCAACTTGAATGAGGAGGGCAAAATTCCATGGTATGTAGTACCCATATTTTTGCAAATAACTTGATGCTGCAGGACTCTACAGTGTAGGTTGTAGCAAAATTTTGTATGCTAGCTGATTGTTTCATACTTTATGAAACTTAATATCAAGAATTTTTTTGCTGTATTAAAATTTTTGGTTGCACTTTTTTATTTGCTTTGTAACAAAAAATGCTTTATGTTTATTTCATTATTAGAGGGTTTACTCTGTGTGATATAGCAGTCTTTGTTTCATAGTTTGATGTTTGAACTTTCATTTGAAACCAAGAAATAGACACTATTTCTATTGTTTACTATGAAAACTTGTAAAGCAAATTCTTTTTTATGTATTTTACACTTAAAACTTTCCATATAACTGTTCAGGAATTTTATTTAATGTCTGCAGGTTAACCCTTTGACTGTCGCAACCCCCAATCCTGAGGTGTCTCCTGGTGTCGCAAAATTTAAAAAAAAAAAAATTATTTTTTCTTATGAAATGATAGAGAATCTTTTCCCGATTGTAATGACACCAAAAAAAACGAAATTTGATGGAAAACTGACGGAATTATGCTCTCGCGAAGTTAGCGACCTCTGCGCTGTTTACAAATCGGCGATTTCGCCCACTTTGAGCCCTATTTTCGGCTAATTCCATTGTTCCAGTCGCCCAAACTCATAGCTATTTCTTTAGAACTCCATTTTTTCTATCGATTGAGTACAAGAAACTGCCCATTTACCGATTTCAACTACCTAATAATGTGGTCAGAAATTTGCAATTTGGCCAGTTTCACGAAAACTAAAAAATAAGACAATTTCAAAATAAGGTCCAGAATGAACAATGCAGACATTCCTGGCTGTAAAATAACATTTTCTTTGCTCATCAGTCATGTCTCCAGGCCCCTCTGATATTACTCTTGCTTTCTATTTTGAATTTTTATTCAAACAAAAAATAGAACACTTACTATTATGCAGACTACTGCAATACTGTAATAATTGTATAAATAACATCAACCCATTCATGACTGCATATTAGAATGGCTAGTTGGACATTTATTGGACAGTGGCATCATTTGTTTACTTTTGAACATTGGCAAAAATCAAACATTTCCCCTACTTTGAGCTCCATTTCTAGGTTCTTTTTTTAGTAAAATCAATCAAAATCACATCTATTTCTATAATATGTTTTCCATTCTATCAAATGAGACCAAGAAAACGAGAATACAACCATAAATACTATACGAAAATAGACCACAAAGTCGGCATTTTAATTAAAAAAAACGGTCGGAGTTTTTTTTTCTCATTATGCACTGCGTGCTCCAGGACTTTTTTTATATGATGCACACTGACCACACAGACCCATTCTCTCACATGTGGGCCTACCAGCTTTCTCCTGCTTGATTTGAAGCCGCTAGAATTTATGAGTATATATACGTCAAACACGGTACCTCGTAAGACGTATATATGCGGCCGCGACAGTCAAAGGGTTAAAGGTGGATCTTTGTAAGGAAATATAAATAATCCTAAGTTCTAGTTAAAGTAGTGTGCTTTAATGATATGGGCCAACTGGGATGTTTCACATTGTCCAGTAATACAGATACAGTAATATTAATAAAAAAAAAGATGCTTTTTTTTTATTTTTTATTTTTGTATTTCTGCTTTTTAACCAGTTTGCAAAAAAAAAAAAAAAAAAAAAAATCAGGGCAAGATATTGGCATCATTACCCCTATATAGAAAAAAAATTAATTACACTGAGTATTTTTTAAAAAGTTGATATCTATAATGTACCTGTTTCCTTAAAACTCTGCATTTGCAGGTTATAATGGAGATTTGATATGCTTACAAGAAGTTGATGAGAAAGTGTTCAATCGTGACTTATACCCTGTTCTTAGTAGCCAAGGAATAGAGGGATATTATACAGCAAAAGGAGGACAGGTTACAGAAGGTGTTGCAATTTTCTGTCGCAGGAACAAGCTCAGGTAAACCTCATCATAAACACTTGTATGATGGAGGAGAAACATTTAAATAAAGGTTGAGTATGTAGTTTGTGTGTTACTAGCATGGCTAAAATATACAAATGAATACTGTACATTACTGGGGTGGTGGTATATGGGCATATGGTATCGTAAGATTGGGATGAAGGTAATTGCATGCCTGGACTGTATTGGTTGGCGCTGTATGACCCTTGTAGGTTCAGCGCTTCTTTTTTATTATAATAATAATAACAGTGGACTGTATTGGAAGAGGCTGTGTATCAACTTTGATGACTCACAAAAATCATAGTACATAATATGTTTGCTTTGATCATGTACAGGGCATGCCTGCCCCACCACCTGACAGAGAAATGTAATTACTTAATCTGAGGTTCTTGACCTATCACAACCAAACAAATATGAACCAACCAGACATGTATAACATGAATATACACAAAATAATAATTCATATGATTAAAAGTAATTATTTATTCTACAGTTCATTACCAATCTTAATCAGACTAACATAAGACTACTACATCTGCATAAGTATGAATGCATTTGTAGTGTTGAGGCATGTAAATGAATACAGTGTACTATATTGTGTTATAGAAAAAAGGCTTATTTCTTTAAGTGGGTAAATATAGAAGGTTTTAGTATTATCAGATGTGTCTTATATAATCTGGAAAATAACATATCTAACATGAAGATTGGAGTTTTTGCAGTTTTTTGCCACTTCTAGTCATTCCAGTATTTTACTTACAGAAAATGACTAGGGGATATACTGTATTAATTGTGATCAGTTATAAGTGGCTAATAAAACTGAGGTACATTTACTGTACTAGATGTATTTGATGCTATGCAAGTCTTTGTCAAGGTCTGTCATTAAGTTTCTAAGTGTTGCAGCTTTCTCATTTAATAGAATTGTAATGTACAGTATTTTTTTTTTTTTCAACAAGTCGGCCGTCTCCCACCGAGGCAGGGTGACCCAGAAAGAAAGAAAATCCCCAAAAAGAAAATACTTTCATCATCATTCAACACTTTCACCTCACTCACACATAATCACTGTTTTTGCAGAGGTGCTCAGAACACAACAGTTTAGAAGCATATACGTATAAAGATACACAACATATCCCTCCAAACTGCTAATATCCGAAAACCCCTCCTTTAGAGTGCAGGCATTGTACTTCCCATTTTCCAGGACTCAAGTCCGGCTATATAAAAATAATCGGTTTCCCTGAATCCCTTCACTAAATATTACGCTGCTCACACCAACAGATCATCAGGTCCCAAATACCATTCGTCTCCATTCACTCCTATCGAACACACTCATGCACGCCTGCTGGAAGTCCAAGCCCCTCGCCCACAAAACCTCCCTTACCCCTGCCTTCCAACCTTTTCGAGGACGACCCCTACCCCACCTTCCTTCTCCTACAGATTTAAATGCTCTCCATGTCATTCTACTTTGATCCATTCTCTCTAAATGACCAAACCACCTCAACAACCCCTCTTCAGCCCTCTGACTAATACTTTTATTAACTCCACACCTTCTCCTAATTTCCACACTCTGAATTTTCTGCATAATATTTGCACCACACATTGCCCTTAGACAGGACATCTCCACTGCCTCCAACCGCCTCCTCGCTGCTGCATTCACAAACCAAGCTTCACACCCATATAAGAGTGTTGGTACTACTATACTTTCATACATTCCCTTCTTTGCCTCCATAGGTAACGTTTTTTGACTCCACATATACCTCAATGCACCACTCACCATTTTTCCTTCATCAATTCTATGATTAACCTCATCCTTCATAAATCCATCCTCCCACACGTCAACTCCCAAGTATCTGAAAACATTCACTTCTTCCATACTCCTCCTCCCCAATTTGATATCCAATTTTTCTTCATCTAAATCATTTGATACCCTCATCACCTTACTCTTTTCTATGTTCACTTTCAACTTTCTACCTTTACACACACTCCCAAACTCATCCACTAACCTTTGCAATTTTTCTTTAGAATCTCCCATAAGCACAGTATCATCAGCAAAAAGTGACTGTGTCAATTCCCATTTTGTATTTGATTTCCCATAATTTAATCCCACCTCTCTCCTGAACACCCTAGCATTTACTTCTTTTACAACCCCATCTATAAATATATTAAACAACCATGGTGACATTACACATCCCTGTCTAAGACCTACTTTTACCGGGAAGTAGTCTCCCTCTCTTCTACACACCCTAACCTGAGCCTCACTATCCTCATAAAAACTCTTTACAGCATTTAGTAACTTACCACCTATTCCATATACTTGCAACATCTGCCACAGTGCTCCCCTATCCACTCTATCATATGCCTTTTCTAAATCCATAAATGCAATAAAAACTTCCCTACCTTTATCTAAATACTGTTCACATATATGCTTCAATGCAAACACTTGATCTACACATCCCCTACCCACTCTGAAACCTCCTTGCTCATCAGCAATCCTACATTCTGTCTTACCTCTAATTCTTTCAATAATAACCCTACCGTACACTTTTCCTGTTATACTCAATAAACTTATTCCTCTATAATTTTTACAATCTTTTTTGTCCCCCTTCCCTTTATATAACGGGACTATACATGCTCTCCGCCAATCCCTAGGTACCTTCCCCTCTTTCATACATTTATTAAACAAAAGTACCAACCACTCCAACACTATATACCCCTGCTTTTAACATTTCTGTCATGATCCCATCAGTTCCAGCTGCTTTACCCCCTTTCATTCTCCGTAATGCCTCACGTACCTCCCCCACACTTACATTCTGCTCTTCTTCACTCCTAAAAGGTGGTATGCCTCCCTGAGCAGTGCATGAAATTACTGCCTCTCTTTCTTCCTTAACATTTAAATGTTCCTCAAAATATTCTCGCCATCTACCTAATACCTCCATCTCCCCATCTACTAACTCCCCTACTCTGTTTTTAACTGACAAATCCATACTTTACCTAGGCTTTCTTAACTTGTTTAACTCACTCCAAAATTTTTTCTTATTTTCATTAAAATTTCTTGACAGTGCCTCTCCCACTCTATCATCTGCTCTCCTTTTGCACTCTCTCACCACTCTCTTTACCTTTCTTTTACTCTCCATATACTTTGCTCTTCTTATAACACTTCTGCTTTGTAAAAACCTCTCATAAGCTACCTTTTTCTCTTTTATCACACCCTTTACTTCATCATTCCACCAATCACTCCTCTTTCCTCCTGCCCCCACCCTCCTATAACCACAAACTTCTGCCCCACATTCTAATACTGCATTTTTAAAACTCATCCAACCCTCTTCAAACACCCACTACTCATCTTTGCACTAGCCCACCTTTCTGCCAATAGTCGCTTATATCTCACCCGAACTTCCTCCTCCCTTAGTTTATACACTTTCACTTCCCTCCTACTTGTTATTGCCACCTTCCTCTTGTCCCATCTACCTCTTACTCTAACTGTAGCTACAACTAAATAATGATCCGATATATCAGTTGCCCCTCTATAAACATGTACATCCTGGAGTCTACCCATTAACCTTTTATCCACCAATACATAATCTAACAAACTACTTTCATTACATGCTACATCATACCTTGTATATTTATTTATCCTCTTTTTCATAAAATATGTATTACTTATTACCAAATCTCTTTCTACACAGCTCAATTAAAGGCTCCCCATTTACATTTACCCCTGGCACCCCAAATTTACCTACTACTCCCTCCACAACATTTTTACCCACTTTAGCATTGAAATTCCCAACCACAAGTACTCTCACACTTGGTTCAAAACTCCCCATGCATTCACTCAACATTTCGCAAAATCTCTCTCTCTCCTCTACACTTCTCTCTTCTCCAGGTGCATATACACTTACTATAACCCACTTTTCACGTCCAACCTTTATTTTACTCTACATAATCCTTGAATACATTTATAGTCCCTCTTTTCCTGCCATATCTTATCCTTCAACATTATTGCTACTCCTTCTTTAGCTCTAACTCTATTTGAAACCCCTGACTTAATCCCATTTATTCCTCTCCACTGAAACTCTCCCACCCCCTTCAGCTTTGTTTCACTTAAAGCCTGGACATCCAGCTTCTTCTCATTCATAACATCCACAATCATCTTTTTCTTATCATTTGCACAACATCCGTGCACATTCAGACTTCCCACTTTGACAATTTTCTTCTTATTCTTTTTACAGTATTAACATTACATATTAATATTATGTATTGTTTTTTGTTTTTTATTATAAATTAATGCACTTTTTGTTTTATTAGAATTTTAGATCGGAATCGTTTTATCCTGAGCAATGAACTCCAGAACAACACATTGTTTGCTGACATGTGGGAGAAGGTGCAGGCTAGTGTGGACTTGGCTGAAAGGATGATTCAACGGGGAACAGTTTTACAGGTAGGTATGCATGAAGTTTTTGCTTTTGTCATATGTTAAACCAGCATTTTTTGGCAAAAGCTTCTAAATGTTGTACCAGCTGTTCAAGGTAACATGCTCATGATCCTCATGGGGGGCTGCAGCTCTCTGTTTAAGAAATGCTGTACTCGACTGTAATTATGAGAAGAAAAATATAATGATACCCTCAAGTATCTGTCTGTATGGATTTTTGTTTCATATTTGACAATAATTGCAAATTCTTTGACACGTGAAATTTGCTACATTGACTCCTTGACACAAAACCTCATTTAAGATAACATCTCAGCCACATAGGCCCAGAAGAGGAACACCTGTATGTACCACCAGTAGTTCAAGAGGGTCCAGTAACAGTCAGAAGTATGGACAAATATTTTCCAATTAAAATAATCGGGAGTGGATTAATGGTAGTGAAGTTGACACCAGTTATATCTTGCCACAAAACTTTGCTTGGGAGTTTACTTTGGCCATAGTCGCTGATTCCCTGAGGGGGCAGGATCAGATTAATGCTCTCATAAACTCTGTGTACTTATGTTTCATAGGTCCTTTGGTGAATGTATTTTTATGGATACACCTACCATCCGACTTACGACCTGCTCGACATACGTCCACTCGACTTACGACCGTGCATCTGGCAGCTGGGCTGGGCCGGCTGATGCACACCACTGTACAATATTTGACAATACTCGCGGGAGCAATGTGTCATGCAGGCAGCATCAGTTTGAGTAACCCTGCCCTATCAGCAGCATCATAACTGTACTAACTGGACAGTAAATTTCACAATGTCCCCTAAGATGAAGTCTGAATCTTGCACTGGAGATTGTGGCAAGAAAGGCTCTTACTCTCAAACACTCTTATTTGTTTTCACTGTTGCACATAAACCTGTCTGTATCTGTCTGCCTCTATATCTGTCTGTATCTCTGTGTGTCTGTCTGTCTACTAGTGTGTCTTTCTGTCTACCTGTGTGTCTTTATGTCTACCTGTGTGTCTTTATGTCTACCTGCATGTCTGTCTTTCTGTCTACCTGTGTCTCTTTCTGTCTACCTGTGTCTGTCTTTGTCTACCTGTGTCTGTCTTTATATCTACCTGTGTCTGTCTTTATGTCTACCTGTGTCTGTCTTTATGTCTACCTGTGTCTGTGTCTACCTGTGTGTCTGTCTTTGTCTGTCTACCTGTGTGTCTGTCTTTCTGTCTACCTGTGTGTCTGTCTTTGTCTGTTTGTCTGTCTCAGAACCACTCATTAAGAGTGTACTTGGTCTTGAAGATGCCATATTAATAATGATAATAACAATAATAATCACTGAGGTGCATTAAATGTGTATAAAATGTTAATATAGACATTTTGCTTAATCCATCTATGATTTTTTTTCAAAATTATATAATAAACATACTACATAACATATAAATTAACAAATATGAGATGTTTTTCTGGTTGGCTTGACAGTGAACATGAACCGTTCGTGTCCGGGCTGGTAACAACAGCAACAACAACAACAACGTTTGTTTACATAACTCGTGAACATTCTACATTCTCATTCTCTCTCTCATTTATTCATTTAATCTTGTTTACTCACCTCTCACTCTACATTAAAACTACAGATATTTTAAGGTAAGTAATGAGTGGACACGATTATTATATTATAACTTAATAATAATATTAATTATTATTAATGTGTAGTAGGTTGGTAGACAGCAACCACCCAGGGAGGTACTACCGTCTTGCCAAGATAGTGTAAAACGAAAGCCTGTAATTGTTTTACATGATGGTAGGATTGCTGATGTCTTTTGTCTGTCTCATAAATATGCAAGATTACAGGTATGTCTTGCTACTTCTACTTACACTTAGGTCACACTACACATACATGTACACATTTATTTATACACACTCATCTGAATTTTCTTTGATTTTATCTTAATAGTTCTTGGTTTTATTACTTTTCCTTTTATATCCATGGGGAAGTGGAATAAGAATCTTTCCTCCGTAAGCCATGCGTGTTGAAAAAGTCAACTAAAATGCCGGGAACAATGGGCTAGTAACCCCTTTTCCTGTAAAGATTACTAAAAAGAATAAGAAGAAGAAAATTGTCAAAGTGGGAAGTCTGAATGTGCGTGGATGTTGTGCAAATGATAAGAAAGAGATGATTGTGGATGTTATGAATGAGAAGAAGCTGGGTGTCCTGGCTTTAAGTGAAACAAAGCTGAAGGGGGTGGGAGAGTTTCAATGGAGAGGAATAAATGGGATTAGGTCAGGGGTTTCAAATAGAGTTAGAGTTAAGGAAGGAGTAGCAATAATGTTGAAGGATAAGCTATGGCAGGAAAAGAGGGACTATAAATGTATTAATTCAAGGATTATGTGGAGTAAAATAAAGATTGGATGTGAAAAGTGGGTTATAATAAGTGTGTATGCACCTGGAGAAGAGAGAAGTGTAGAGGAGAGAGAGAGATTTTGGGAAATGTTGAGTGAATGTGTGGGGAGTTTTGAATCAAGTGTGAGAGTAATGGTGGTTGGGGATTTCAATGCTAAAGTGGGTAAAAATGTTATAGAGGGAGTAGTAGGTAATTTTGGGGTGCCAGGGGTAAGTGTAAATGGGGAGCCTTTAATTGAGCTATGTGTAGAAAGAGATTTGGTAATAAGTAATACATATTTTATGAAAAAGAGGATAAATAAATATACAAGGTATGATGTAGCACGTAATGAAAGTAGTTTATTAGATTATGTATTGGTGGATAAAAGGTTGATGGGTAGGCTCCAGGATGTACATATTTATAGAGGGGCAACTGATATATCGGATCATTATTTAGTTGTAGCTACAGTTAGAGTAAGAGGTAGATGGGAAAAGAGGAAGGTGGCAACAACAAGTAAGAGGGAAGTGAAAGTGTATAAACTAAGGGAGGAGGAAGTTCAGGTGAGATATAAGCGACTATTGGCAGAAAGGTAGGCTAGTGCAAAGATGAGTAGTGGGGGGGTTGAAGAACGTTGGAATAGTTTTAAAAATGCAGTATTAGAATGTGGGGCAGAAGTTTGTGGTTATAGGAGGGTAGGGGCAGGAGGAAAGAGGAATGATTGGTGGAATGATGAAGTTAAGGGTGTGATAAAAGAGAAAAAGGTAGCTTATGAGAGGTTTTTACAAAGCAGAAGTGTTAAAAGAAGAGCAGAGTATATGGAGAGTAAAAGAAAGGTAAAGAGAGTGGTGAGAGAGTGCAAAAGGAGAGCAGATGATAGAGTGGGAGAGGCACTGTCAAGAAATTTTAATGAAAATAAGAAAAAATTTTGGAGTGAGTTAAACAAGTTAAGAAAGCCTAGGTAAAGTATGGATTTGTCAGTTAAAAACAGAGTAGGGGAGTTAGTAGATGGGGAGATTGAGGTATTAGGTAGATGGCGAGAATATTTTGAGGAACTTTTAAATGTTAAGGAAGAAAGAGAGGCAGTAATTTCATGCACTGGTCAGGGAGGTATACCATCTTTTAGGAGTGAAGAAGAGCAGAATGTAGGTGTGGGGGAGGTACGTGAGGCATTACGGAGAATGAAAGGGGGTAAAGCAGCTGGAACTGATGGGATCATGACAGAAATGTTAAAAGCAGGGGGGGATATAGTGTTGGAGTGGTTGGTACTTTTGTTTAATAAATGTATGAAAGAGGGGAAGGTACCTAGGGATTAGCGGAGAGCATGTATAGTTCCTTTATATAAAGGGAAAGGGGACAAAAGAGAATGTAAAAATTATAGAGGAATAAGTTTACTGAGTATACCAGGAAAAGTGTACGGTAGGGTTATAATTGAAAGAATTAGAGGTAAGACAGAATGTAGGATTGCTGATGAGCAAGGAGGTTTCAGAGTGGGTAGGGGATGTGTAGATCAAGTGTTTACATTGAAGCATATATGTGAACAGTATTTAGATAAAGGTAGGGAAGTTTTTATTGCATTTATGGATTTAGAAAAGGCATATGATAGAGTGGATAGAGGAGCAATGTGGCAGATGTTGCAAGTATTTGGAATAGGTGGTAAGTTATTAAATGCTGTAAAGAGTTTTTATGAGGATAGTGAGGCTCAGGTTAGGGTGTGTAGAAGAGAGGGAGACTACTTCCCAGTAAAAGTAGGTCTTAGACAGGGATGTGTAATGTCACCATGGTTGTTTAATATATTTATAGATGGGGTTGTAAAGGAAGTAAATGCTAGGGTGTTCGGGAGAGGGGTGGGATTAAATTTTGGGGAATCAAATTCAAAATGGGAATTGACACAGTTACTTTTTGCTGATGATACTGTGCTTATGGGAGATTCTAAAGAAAAATTGCAAAGGTTAGTGGATGAGTTTGGGAATGTGTGTAAAGGTAGAAAGTTGAAAGTGAACATAGAAAAGAGTAAGGTGATGAGGGTATCAAATGATTTAGATAAAGAAAAATTGGGATATCAAATTGGGGAGGAGGAGTATGGAAGAAGTGAACGTTTTCAGATACTTGGGAGTTGACATGTTGGCGGATAGATTTATGAAGGATGAGGTTAATCATAGAATTGATGAGAGAAAAAAGGTGAGTGATGCGTTGAGGTATATGTGGAGTCAAAAAACGTTATCTATGGAGGCAAAGAAGGGAATGTATGAAAGTATAGTAGTACCAACACTCTTATATGGGTGTGAAGCTTGGGTGGTAAATGCAGCAGCGAGGAGACGGTTGGAGGCAGTGGAGATGTCCTGTTTAAGGGCAATGTGTGGTGTAAATACTGTATTATGCAGAAAATTCGAAGTGTGGAAATTAGGAAAATGTGTGGAGTTAATAAGAGTATTAGTCAGAGAGCAGAAGAGGGGTTGTTGAGGTGGTTTGGTCATTTAGAGAGAATGGATCAAAGTAGAATGACATGGAAAGCATATAAATCTATAGGGGAAGGAAGGCGGGGTAGGGGTCATCCTCGAAAGGGTTGGAGAGAGGGGGTAAAGGAGGTTTTGTGGGCAAGGGGCTTGGACTTCCAGCAAGCGTGCATGAGCATGTTACAT